AAATGTGCTCGAAATTGTGGATAAACAGGTCCGAAGATTATAGCCTGGGCATTGACCACCTTTATTTACTGCTAAGTTTGGTGTTTGCTTTTTGTTTTTACTTTTTTCTTCGTTTGATTTTTTTTCATGTACAAAAGTTTTTCTTGGTTTATGCTTTTTGCTATTAGCCCCATCCCATTTTGTTTTCATTTTAAGTTTTTTGGGATACGGAGTCTGTTGTCACTCCACCATTTTGTGTACACACACACACACACACACACACACACGCACACACACATATATATATATATATATAATATATATATATATATATATATATATGTGGTGAACCTATGAGTGTTCCTAGGAACCGACAGCCCAGACGCCAGCCCATGAGATTTGATTATAGTGGGGAAGGCCTTGTGCAGAACCAACTACACCTTTTAAAGAGCCGAATACAGAGATCTAATATACTACGTACCACAAGGTCCCCTAATGACCCTCCGTAGGGCTTTTTGAAATCAGCGTTGTCCTTCTCCTAGACCATCAAGTAAATGTAATGGATTCGACTGGCATTCGGACTCAGCTCTCCGATTCCTTAATCCGAACCGCTATCCACTACTCCACCGTGCCTATACTTTTAGAGGATGCTATAGTGATCTGTAAAAATAATCTCAATATCCGGGATAATGTGTATCTAAATATAAATGGCCTGAAGATCGCGTTCATGCCTGAAACTGATTGTCGTTATCTATCGATCTATGAATGTCTGACTCGTCCAAAATATTGTCTGTTTTTATTCAGGCATTACTGCAGATATCACGGTGTGTCACTGAACCTCTCCATTTTATTTTAATGTGGAGTTACTTCGTACGGTACGGATGTCTGGTTATGAGGTTATTTTGGTTTCAAAGCTTGATTAGTCTCAAATCTGACGTTTACAGTTTAGAAAAAAATTGTTCTAGATTTTCTATATGTCTTTACCAAATCCAGACCATTAAAATTTGACAACGATTTCTACAAATTTTGCTAAAAATTGTTATGGCGTCGTAATAAAAACAATGGCCGACAAGGCAAATGTTACACATTGACATGTTTCACGTTAATTTAGGTTGAGTTGCGAAGGACAATAAGGAATCGAGTTCATTTAGTGACGACAATAAATGGTCACAAGTTTGATTTGACAAAATGAGGATAAAAGTATTGTCGTTTATTGTTGCTTTTGCGTCTACAGGAGAGCATTCAATAGCGTCTCTCATCGTCGTGACTATTCGTTATTGGATATAGGACGATCGCGTCCGGGAATCTCACCATGTCGTGGATTACAGCTGACAATCAATCAATTCCTTACAAAAAGAAAAGAAAAGGAAAAAAAAAACACACACTGTGATGGCAGTGGGCTTAGGACATCGACTAGCAATAAGAAAAACAAGCAAACGATATATATATATATATATATATATATATATATATAATTATAAAAAAGGTATTGGTCAGTGTTGAATTAGACCAGGAAAGAGTAGTATTTAAAAGAGCTCAATATACCTATAAAGAAATTAAAATAAAATAAAAAAATTAACATGCAGAGCTTTTACATTTAAAAAATTAGATCAGCCGATCACGCTACCTTGGTTTCAACCTTTCGGTATTTTCAGGCGATCAGGGCTAAATAATTTCCTAACGCTTTATTATTTAAAAAATAAATAAACGCGCAACGCGAAGTCTAATAGAAGGGGAGGAGAAAAGCAAGGGTATTGAAATTGTATCGAAGGGGTGGTATATGAAATGTACATACTTTCATCCTGGTTCGTACGAACTAAAAAAGGAACTTTTAGTATATATATATATATATATATATATATATATATATATATATATATATATATATATCGTGTCATTATTTCTGATCTCTCATTCAGAAGGTTTTTCTGGCCTGGAAATGTTATTATTGTTGACCTTTCGTCCTGGCAAAGATTGCAGATATCACTATGAATGTTTGTAAGGTTTGTTTGTTTTTTAATATTTCACAGTTTACGATCGGATCTTTTTTTATATTGTCTATCGCAATGAACGGACGTTCTCTGAAGGAGGTCCCTTAACGTGAATGCTTATTGGGACTGAGGCTCACCGTTGACCTCAAGTGGAATTCATATATACGATCCACTGCTAAAGACGATTGGAAAGATGCTTGGTTCCCTGTAACGTTGCATTAAGTACCCGATTCCACCCTGTCTTGCTCTATGTTTAGAAGCAGGCCCCCAAAATGGAGTATTACTGCCATATCCGGGCTGGTATTCCCAAATCTTTACATTCCAGTCTTGAGAAGAGATAAAAAAATGACCACAGGGTAGGTTACGCAATTGGTGCCGTTGTTCAAAGCCATAAAATGCTGCAAAGCCGAATTATTGACCTGAAAACATTTAGTCATGTTCTTAAAAACCTTTGTCAGATCTATAGACTTTCATATGGTTGCCATATGGAGGCAGTAAGGCATTACTATGGAGGCAGTAAGGCATTACTATCGAGGCATGAGTAAATAATTGTGCCATCAGCATAGATACCAAGTTAAGAGCTGATGTCATCAGGAAGGTCATTAATGAAAATTAAAAAATAGAGTCGGAACGAGTGGCCGTTCAAGATTTGACCGGAAGGACTGGATCTATTCAAAAATATGTCCGGAAATCCCGTAACATTTCAGTTTTTTGAGAAGACCTCAATGCCAAACCCTGTCAAAGGCTTTCGAGATTTCGAATGCTACAAACCGGGCTTCATCGTTTTTATCTCGAGCATGATAATCTTTTTCCGCAATTATCGTCAGTAGATCAGCAGTTGACCTTGAGAAACGAAAGCCATATTACAGGGATACACCAGATGAGTCAAGAGTGGAGTTTAAGGAGAATTTACGAGCAAAGCACTCAGCTTTAATGTTAAGATCTCAAATTGATTAAAGAGGGGAATAGAGGCCTTACACTTATTTAATACTCTATTATAGAGGCGCCAGTAATCACGCGAGCCAACGTTGTTAGATGCTGTGCGGTGCCTCATTCTCTCAGCAAACAAGGACTTATCTCCTTCAAGGACCCGTTTACATTTATTACAAGCAGCAATGAATCAGAGCCCGTTGTGATATAGCTGAAATTAGTAGTTCCTGTGTGCTATAGTGGCCAAGCATGCTGGTGTGAACCACGGAGAGGATTGAGGTTTTATGTGATATTTCCGAGAAAGGATGAAAGTGTCCATGCCAACTTTGATCAAAGAAGAAACTTCTGTGACGCAGTTCTCATTTGGGAGGTTAAAGATATCAGTCCAAGAAGTGTCAAGAAGAAAATGAGAGTGTGAGTCCCAGTCAGAATGCTGGTAACGGAAATATAAAATATGGGGTTTCCTGTTTAATAGATGATTGGAATGAAATATAAATATATCAATTCCAGTTCAATTTGGGATTAATCAAAGTCATTTTGGGACTAAGCAAATTCATAATGAAATAGCCAAGTTCAGAATGGAAGAGTCAAATTTAAATTGGGACAGAGCAAATTCAAAATGGAATAGTCATATTCAAAAAGGGACTAAACAGATTCAAAATGAATAGTCTAATTTAAAATTGAATAAGCAAATTTGTTTTGGAACTTAACAAGTTCAAAATGGATTAGGCAAATTCAATTTGGGACTGAGCAATTATTTTGCTAAAAAAGACATCAAAATTGAATATTTTCATGATAAAATAATAATCTTCAACTAAACTTTACTATTGAAATGTTTTATTTTCTAGAAGCAATCAATAAATCAAGAAAATTCATGAAAGGTTTATGTTTTTTGGATGCAATTTTCAGCGCTTAAAATCTCTTACTGTACCTATCTTTTTTCAAAATTCTGTCTTGATATATGCATTCAGTATTTCCTTGCTGCTTTTTCTTAGGACTTTCAAGATTTCCCCGGTTGTCCCCCAAATCATTTCATTTTGAATAACTCTCTCTTATTCTCTCTTTTTTAAAACTATATACAGTCTATCCATCTCTTTCTTTCTTCATTTCTTCTCCCTGATTGTGTTATCAATAAAAGTGCCAGAAACTGTAACTTTGACAGAAATTTATCCGTTCAAGAATAGCCTCTTGTAAGGAAATGATTGTAAACTCTACGCAACGCTGCGCTTCAATTTTTAATTACCTGATTTACTGTCCAGTTGATTTTTTAACCAATAATATTTGTGCAGATAAGTTTGAAACATTTTTCCATAATGAATCTTAGTCCCAATTCATATTTGCTTATTTCATTAAGAATTTGCTTCGTTCCAAATCAAACTTGCTTATTTCATTTTGAATTTGCTACATACCATTCTGAACTTGGCTATTTCATTTTGAATTTGTTTAGTCCCAAATTGAACTTGAAATGGTATAGACTTTCATATGGTTGACATGCTTAAAATTTCACCTATAATCAATATTCCTATAATCTTATATATATATATATATATATATATATATTGATTATATTCCTATGATCTTGTATTCCTATATATATAATTCTATGTTCTAATATATAATCCTATATTCCTATAATCCTATATGTAATCCTATATTCCTATATATAATCATATTAAAATATATAATACTATATTCCTATAAACCTATATATAATCCTATATTCAAATATATAATCCTATATTCCTATATCCATATAATCTTACATTCCTCTATCTGATCCTATATCCCTATAATCCTATATTCTAATATATAATCTTATAATCCTAAAATCCTATATTCCTATATATAATCTGAAATTTCTTTTAAGGTTATTTATAGCCGAAATATATTATTGGGTTGTAAGAGTTTATTTTAGAGATAATATTGATTAATAATAATACAAGTCATACCAATTAACCCATAGTTGAGAGGGGGAGAGGTGGATTCAAAACTTAACTAGCGTTATTTGCATGTGAATGAAACGAAACCTACAATAATCGAACTCAGCTTTACGATTTCGCATTACGAGCCGTTTCACGTTACATCACCTGCAACTCCAAGCTTACAGCACCTGGTATTCCCGGTCACCCATCTAGGTACTGGCCAGGCTCAACGTTGTTTAACTTCGGTGATCTTACGAGAACAGGTAGAGCTCAATGTCCAAGACAGAGCAAGAATATAATATAAAAGACTCAAACGCTAATATTCCGTGGTTATAATTTATTACATTGGAATCGTAACCACGATCCAATTCATCAGAGATACAAATTCAAAAAGCTTTTTGAATTTGTAGGTGTGATAAATGGATCGTGATTATGACTCAATGTAATAAATTATAACCATGGAATATTAACGTTTATTATTATATTATATTATATTATATATATATATATATATATATATATATATTATATATATATATATATATATATATATATATATATATGTTAGAAAGATGCATAACAAAGTGGAAAACGCTTTCGTATGGCACATTTCGTCTTTTAGGACTTCATTGGACTAAGTTTTTGTTTAAATTGATGCGACTACACATGCGCACGAACAAAGGACGCCGGGAATGTTAAATTGAAAAATATTTTTTTTATATATGTATCTTGGGTATGAAATCTAGCCGATTTCATTAATTTCTTTAATCTCTAAATCATCCACAGTAAATTTGCGTCCAAGTTCTTACAGCGTTTCACCATTCTCGCCAGATCTTCTATTAATGTGCGATATTTAATAAGAAAAAGTGATTTAGACACAAACACAAAGAAATAGAATCTAAGTGCAATCGGCTTGATTTTATACCCAAAACACATATAAAAATCACCCTTAATTCCCAGCATCCCTCTTTTGTGCGCATGTGCATCAACGTAAATATAAAATTAGTCCGTGTTCCATTGGCGAAAAGAAAGTTCCACTCGATCAGCTTCTTTCTGCGAACCACTGCTCAAGGGAACCGACTCCCAAGAGAATGTTTCTTAATCACTACAATCTTAATCTGTTAAAATCAGTGGTTAATCCTTATCTTCCCATCCTATCCGTATAAACTGCGTTTTAACGTAACCCTGTATCGCGAGTGGCTACCGGGCCTTGTACAGTGTAAATCTTAATGAAACACACACACACATATATATATATATATGTGTGTATATATATATATATATATATATATATATATATATATATATATATATATATATATATATATATATGGCGTGTTCGGCGAAGGAAGGACATATTCAACAAAAATCGAAAATTGCATTTTCCTCGCAAATTATCCATTATATCATATCCAAGTATTTTACAAAAAAATAGAGCTGATTACACAATATTTCAAGCTCAATTTAGGTTTAAAGTTCATAACTATGCAATGAGATGAGGTAACATAAACCGTAGATTTGTCTGTGGAATATCATTACATTATTGTTACATTATTATAGTGAAATCATTAAGGGTTTTTGTCAAAGCATTTTATTTTTGGTCATATATTAATTTAAAAAACATTTTTACAAGCTCGATTTTTGAAATTGAATAAGATCATTGTAAATTTCAGAATTTCATTATTGCCCATCAAAATGACTGGAAGAAAGCGATCTAAAAACTACAATGGAAAAAATAGGTAATAAAGCGTAAACGAAATAGCTCCAGTTTGTTCAACTTAGAAAACTTAGCATTGCAGCTAAAATATTCTAAAATGCTGTCAAAGGAGAAAATGAAAAATACCTAACAACAAATCGAATATAGCATCAAAATTTATATTATTTTTATTTATTTGTTATATAACTAAATACATAATTGTCAACGATTTTTCAGTAAAACTTGATATTTCCTGTAATAAATTCTTAATAAATATTATTAATGCTATTATTTTATTTAAGTGTAAGGTAGTCCTACATTTACAATTCCTTATGGCTAACCATGAAAAAAAATTTTGATTAAAACTGCCGAAAAAATATAAGCCGCACTGCCGCAAAATGATCAAATGTTTGAATACGCCCCCTCTTCCGCCGAACGCGTCATATATATATATTAGGAAATGAATTGTATCTGACAGATTTTAATTTATTTGCTTTAACGTTATTTTATAAATGAATACTCGTATTTGAGTATTTGGTTTTCAGGACAGTAGATGTAAATGAATAAAAGATACTGTTTAACATATATATATATATATATATATATATATATATATATGAAGAAATATATACGTATATATATCTATGAAGAAATATATATAAATATATGAAGAAATATAGTTTTAAGGTATGCTATACTTATGGGATAAAGTGCTCAATATCAGAGATAGAGCGTATGTAAATATAAATATAAAAGTGAACATTGAAGTCAACACTCCAGGGCGACAGGCTGTTTCATGCTGGACGCAATCGTCAGGCCACCTGACAATTGCGTTTTTGCATGAAAACAGCCTGTCTCTAATTTAGGTTCTATGTTCTTTTTTATATATATATATATATATATATATATATATATATATATATATATATATATATATTATATATTCTGCCTAAATATATAATGCCGAAGAAACATACAAAAGGTGTATGGGGAGATCGCTGTATGTTTGTATGTGCGTGTGCGTGGAGGCACTCTGGTAGATACGAATAAAGATTGATAGAAAAGCAGATGAATACGAAATCGATACAAAAGGAAGCTGATCAGATGAAAAATGTATTAACGAATGAGTCAGCCTGACGGGTGAGATAGTTTTGTATTTCTCACCTGTGCCAGAAGTCTGTGTTTGAGTCCACACAGGAAACGATGTTTCGAATATTTATTACGTTTCGGCCGTTGTACGCTCCGGCCTTCTTCAGTTGGTTGGAATGTCGAACTGAACCCTTTATTTCGCTCAATGGGGTAGACTGTTCTAGTTCCACTTGCCATATTTAATGGATGTCAGTTATCGGTTATCTCTTTTAATTTCCCCTCTCAAGTTCTCCCTGCCTTAACCGGGTATTGAACTCACACTCTTTGGGTCCTGTCTGGATCTAACTAACGCCTTTATCCACTGTGACATCTGACCTTGGAGTTAAAGAGTGTAAGTTCAATACAATACCAATATGATGGAGAACTTGGAGAGGTGAATTAACAGGAGAATAACTGGATAACTGACATTCATTAAACATGGCACGGAACTAGAACAATCTACCCCAGTGAGCGAAATAAAGGGTTCAGTTGACATTTTAACCACCTGAAGAAGGCCGGGCCGGAACTGCCGAAACGTTTGATTAAATATGGCGTAAAAGATGAGGACAATGGTCGAATGATGTAAATAGTGTACATAATATCTCATCTCAGAAATATAGACTGATTCTTCATACTCCTCGAGAGGAAGACGGTCTGATTTCCGGAGGGTTCGTCTACGATACTCTGAAGTCGGGTTGCTGAAGGTAGCATCAATTAGGTAAGTCACAAACCTTCTACTTGTAATAATCTCTCTCTCTCTCTCTCTATATATATATATATATATATATATATATATATATATATATATATATATATACATATATATATATATATACATATATGTTTATTCATTCTTTTTATAGATACAAATAATTAAGTAAATACTCTGTTAATAATAAACAGTATTAACAACATTTACCGGCCTGAATGTCTGAGAAATTTTCATAGAAAATATGCGCCCATCCGACAGGAATCGAACCCGTATCCTATAAGGAACCGTCATATAGCCTGACGTGCTTTACCGATTGAGCCACTGAGGAGCGTTTTGGCTAGCAACGTCGATTTTACTGTTTTTAAACTACAATTCTCCTTGATTTTCTCTCGTACATTCATATCTGCTCGATGCGTATCCAAATGTAAACAAATGAAATGTAAACACATTATGAAATGGACAAAGTCTTACAATTATTTTACTTAAATATTGTATCTATAAAAAGAACGTATAAAATTAAAAATATTAAAAATAATTGTCGGACTTTGTCCATTTCATAATACATATATATATATATATATATATATATATATATATATATATATATACAAGGTAACCAAAAAGTTCTGTCCGTTTTTTGATTAGTCATTGAATGAAGCTGAAATATACACGAAATGCCTGTAGCAATTGTTTTCAAATTCGGACAGCCGGAAGTATGAACATCAGACGTTATAAAAAACACGCGCACCATGCCCGGCCATCAGTTATAAGCTGGACAGCTGTGAGAAGGATGGAATTGTCTAGAGATCTCGTTTGGGGCTGTTTGCTTTACGACTTCAAAGTGGGCTTATCAGCAGCTGCATGAAGCCGCCGCATATGTCAAGCGTTTGGGGATAGTGCTGTGGATGAACGTACTACAAGGCGTTGGTTTTGAAAATTCAAGTCGGGAGATTTGTCTCTCCATGATGAGCCTCGCAGTGGACGACCAGAGGTCTTGAATGACAGAGTCCTGAAGGCGGCCATTGAAGAGGACAGTAGTCTAACGTGTGGTGAACTTGCAAGACAGTTCAACGTTTCCGATGAAACAGTTAGACTTCACCTGAACCGCCTAGGTAAGACGTCAAACTGAGCAAGTTGGTTCCGCAAATTCTGTTGGAGGTCCACAAGGGACAATGATATGGAGCCTGCTTGGAGAGGGAATTAACAGGAGATCCTTATTCAATCTGACATCCATGAGAAAATGGTTCATGGAACTAGAATGGTTCCAGACATTGGTTGTCTCCTAAGGGGTTCAGTTTGACATTCCAACCACCTGAAGAAGGCTGGGAGCAAGATTATGCAAAATGTGTGGATAAATATGGTCGACAAAGTTGAGGACAATAGTCCCAATAATGTAAATAGTGTACATGATTATTTTATATTAAACGTGTCCAGCAGGCATTAAACAAGAAAAAGATAAACTGGTGAATCGGAAAAAAAAGGTGTGCTTTTTCCTCCATCAACAGAAAGCCGCATGTGGAATTAGGTTGGGAAAAAAAATATACCATAAAAAAACATGGGTGGGATACTTTGTACCATCTAACCTTAAATCTGCAATGCCATCCGAATACACCTCTTTCTCCCATCTTCGGGAAATCCTTCACCAATAAATCAGACTTGCAAAAATGACTTATTTCGTCAAAGCCCCAGGTTTGATCATATATTGAACAGCTAGAGAAAAAGAAAAGGTGC